TTGCCCCAATTCAACATGTTGAATCGGCGTCGGGACCGTCGGCGCGAGTGAGAGCTCTGATTGGCTGTTCAGTTTAGCGAACGAGTCGGTGCCCGAGAATGAAAGCGAAAGTGATGAAAACAAGCACGTAAATGAAGGCGGTACAGACAGAAGGCTGTTTAAATGTTACGTGATCTTTCCCAATCATTCTAATATGTGAATGTTTTCATAACATGAGCCGCTTAAAATGATTAAAGATATCAACGTTACTGATATTCAAAATGGTAAGCAAGTGCTGCTTACCATTTTGGACAACACCGTCGGCTTTCGTCGCCGCTAGTTCTTTGAAGTCGGCTTGGTGTTTCCACGCCTTTAGATTATTCAAATGTTATTTTACACTAAGAAAAAATTGTTCTATTAAGAACTGTTCTCTGAAAGATTATTTGGGGAATCAAAAATAGCTCTTTTATTGCATCACTGTGGAACCTTCGTTTTTAAGGTTCCACAGTGATGCAATAAAATAAAAAAGAAATTGTTCCACAGAAAAAAAGAACTTCAAACAGGTTTGGAACAACATGAAGGTGACTAAATAATGACCGAATTTTCATTTTTGGCTGAACTATCCCATAACTCTATGTATGAGCAACAGTAAAAGTGATGTTTGCCTCCGCTCAAAGCTACTGACATATTGTTAGACCAAGTTCAAAGTGGACCACAATCTGATTTTATAAAGTCAGCATGTTGAACTTAAGCAAGCTTAGTCTACATTTGAGCTCAGACCATTTCAGGACTGCCGTTGTCTTCCCATCAGAAAAACAACAGCCGACCGATGTAATACTTTACATCCACTACTAATCACCAAAGATTGTCAAGAGTTTCCACCCTACTTTCCCAGCATCCTCGGGACGGTTTCTAAGGGTGTTTGGGAGCATCTACAAGTACAGAAGATTTGCATGAGGGATATCAGCGTTAAAATACGAATGGATACAACAGAGCGGCTCCGCGGCAGTCAGCCCGTGATTGATGCACGCGCATTTCCCATCCCCCTCTGCCAGTTCTGTCTGTACATCTGTCTCTCCACCCTCCCTCCGTCTTCTCCTCGCTCCCCCCTCTGTGTGCCACTGTGATGTTATCTCAGAGTCTGTGTGTCTGTAGGCAGGAGGTGACGCAGTGTCTGTCTGAATCCAGACAAAGAGACAAACTCATCAGCCAACAGACACGAGAGAAAAGGCTGAAGTCATTGAAGGGTGGGTGGCACCAAAACAGACAGAAAGAGACAAAACTTAACTCGGATGCCAAACAATGAGAGCACTCCTGAATTCAAACCATCCCACAGCCTTTACAAACCCAACAGAAAACAGTACAAATCCTGAGAACGGGCAGGGGACGGGGCCCTTGCACGCGGTCTAGTTTGGTGGGCTGGAAGAATAGTCATAGACAGACATCAGATAAACCCAGACAAGCAATTCAGGCCTCACTTTGCCTAATTGACAAAGCCAGGCATGATGGAAGAACAAGATCAGTCATACAGGTTCCCATGGAGTAACGTTTCCCATAGTGCGCCCCAGTGTGTCTGCAAGAGCCCCTATTTCTACTAAGAAATACGATAAAATGGAAAAGACGGAGTAACATTTACAGAAAAGTCTCAGCCTTTCACTTCCATCAGCTCTGAAAATATTTAAGTCATAAATACACAAAGTAGTTGCTGGAAACTACACTGAAAAACATGGTGAAGGATTTAATTTCAACTCTTTTCACTCAGAAATTGCAAGTAAATTTCACAAATAATTACAAAGAAACCGCCAATGCAGTGATTTCAACTTTTAGAAGTAGAAAGACTGAAATGGTATTTTCTTGTAAAACGTAATCCAATAAACTTTAAACAAAAAAAAAAACAGTAAAAAATAAAGTAAAACTATCAAATGTAACTGTAAATGTAAAATATTTTTTACTGTGTAGTGTGTAAAAAAAAAAATATATATATATATATATATATATATATATATTGCAGTGGTAGCAAGTTACTTTTTTGGTCTTCAGTCAGGTAACACCTTTATACAATAAAATATCAATTCTATACAGCACAAATTACTATAAGACACTCATAACATTTCACTAACACTGCCTGCAATGTAGCCAACTCCATCTGAAATTATAAATCACCATACATCAACGATTATTTATGACAGTCGCATCACATTTACATTGTGGATTGTGTGTCCCTCAATAAAGAGAGAATGGCAAACAATGATATGCTAATAACGTATAATTATGCAGTTACTGGGGTTGGATGAGAGCTTCAACTTATTCTTCAGGTGAACTGGATCATGGGGTTTTGGTGATCATGACCTTAAACCAAAAACACGTGCTATGAGTGAACATATGTTCATTTGATGCCGATTTATCAAAATAGGATTTCAGTAACATTTCTAAATAAAAACAAATAATAATTGCACGTGTCAAGGGTAACGCTACTCTTTGAGGAAACCGGTTTCTTACATAGATGTGATAGTGTTCTGTCTCTACAAGTAATAAAATCGTCATGTCCATGTAGTATTCATTTATTGGTAAGTACCGTCGGCCACACACACACACACACACACACACACATATATATATATATATATATATATATATAGGCCTAAAGT